GACTGTGTCAGATATCTATTTTATAGTTGGTGCAATTACTTCATTGCTGGTAACAGTAGCAGCAAGAAGAAGGTTAAGTCCGTTTCATTCTATAGATGCCATTGGGAACTTATTTTGGCACGCTCCAGTTTGTATGATTTTTTCAGGAGCAGACGACCTCAATATGAATATACAAATATTGGATAACATATTAGAAGTAAACGCGTAGATTTATATATCATTCTTGTGATACTTTGTATGTGAATTGAGAAAATTATGTTACACTGGTTTACAGGTACATGGAAATGAATCCTGGGAAATTCCCCACGGTTTCTGATGCTGTAAAAGATGTTGGTGGCTCTTACTATTTTGTTCGACAGATCCTGCAGGAGCTGATATACAATTCAAAGTTGTCCTCTATGAGTACTAAGGATGCTTTGGTGGAGAAACAAACCTTGAACAAGGATGAGATATCCACTAACTTTGCAGAGGTTTCTCGAACAAGCAAGCTGCCAGAAATTATAAGCCCGAGTTCGAAAGTGGAAAGTACGGATCCCGGTTCCAAGACTTATGAGTTAGAGCAGGGCCCACAGTCATCCGTTACAGTTGAGGCTAATATAAATGATGAAACCCAAATATTTTCAGCAGTGGTAAGCGTTATAAGGTTGAGGCACCCAAATTACTAATGATTATTTTGGTTCTTTTGTATGGCATGTGATACTCCAATCTGTAATATCCCACTCAAAAATTGTGTTTTTCAAGTAGATTGTAACCTTATGGACTGCTATAGTGTTCCAAACGCACAGACACAACACACATATATATTCATATGTACTATCTATTGACCAGAAATATTTTATATCTTTTATTTTGCAAGAATGCCAAATCCGAAGATGTCGGAACTGAATCTCATCACTCGGTTGATGAGCCTGAAAGCTGTCTGACCCTTGATCCTCAAAATAATATCAGAAAGGAGACTATACATGAAGATAAGGTGAAATTCGATGGGTTGCAACCCAAGTCTGAGCCACAAGAGTCAGTAGAGGTATCTGGAAGGTAATTTCTCTTTTTTTCTTTGATCTAAGATTGTCTTTGGATAGAAATAATTGGATTTGGATATGGGTTTAAAATTATTAATTCTCTAATATACTTCAAATCCATCAAATGACTGCAAAAATAGCTCATAAGTGGTTACTGAACTAGAGGATTTAAATTGCCTTTGAAGTATCTGAATAAGCACAAAGAATTTGTTATTGTGGATCTGAAATCCTTGGCTCCCAAATCCTACAATTATTTCCCTTGGAAATATCAGCAACCTATTTTGTACTTGGGGGTGGGATCCCCCACACAATTTTCTGTTTCTCGGAGATGCTAGGAAATCGAGTCATCTGAAAGACAGGGCATTATGCTTTTCACTGAAAGATTCCTTTTTGTCAACAAATCCCCGCTATCAAGGGTAGTTTCGAACAAAATTCACTAATTTATTATAGACAAGTTTATGTATTGCATATGTATCATGTATAATATCATTTACCGTATGTTCTATAGCTTGAGCACATTATCTTTTGCTCAAGCGCTCGTGTTATCTTCAATGCAGGGAGTTGGACGAAGTGCCTAGTAAAGAATTGGAACCTCAAAAGAAATCATCAATGTGGAAAAATCTGAAGTCGTTTGCAAATGAAATTTTAGATATATGGAGGAGATCTTAATTTTGTTTGGGGGTATATCAGAAAATGAAGTTTTGCATCTCCTCGGGAAGTACATAGTTTTCTGCTTGAGATTATCATCAAAAAAATGAAGTTTATTGTTTCTCCAAGAAACACTAATCTGGTAAACTGTGCTTATTTATGGACTCAAAAAATGATTGAGATCGTGGCAAGTGATACTAAACAGGTGGCGTGAGATTTTCGTCAGCCTGAGTGAATGTTTTAGTTTTGTAGCAGTAAGATGCTGATGTTAGATGATAGTGAATTTACGTGGTACTAGAAGTTTCGAGAAGATCTTCATGAAGAGGGCGTTTATAAAATTCCCTGGAATTGCTTATCGTTGGTTTGTGCTACTCGTTTCTTCGTAGTGTATGAAAAGTTTAGGGGTGTGTGGTCTGTTGATGAAAATATATTAGACAGTTGGGACGTTGAGAGTTGGATCTCCATGAACCGTTTAATATTCTATTTACTAGTAATCCATCATCATTCATTCATTGAAACTTTATTATCATCTGTAATTTTGGGAGTGTAGAGAAAGAGAGAGCCTTGAATTGGATATCATTCTCAATCACATGTAAATAATTTACGCTAGTACTGATGAACAAATTTAGACACAGGCACTTCGGTCGCGGGCCGACATGCCGAGGCCCGTTATGAGCTAATGGGCCCAGGATTAATTTCATGAGCTCCTCCTCCTCCGTTTTGTGTGGACCTATCAGGTCTTGGCCCATTCTGAGGTAATGGGCACAATATTTAAATTTCATGAGCCGGGCCTCCAGTTTTTGGACCTGCCATCCAGAGGCCCATTATGAGACAATGGGCCGGGCTGTTGGGCCCATTTTACACTATTCGGTCAGGCTGATGGGCCCATTTATTAAGCCCATTAAACACTACTTGGTCGGGCTGATGGGCCATTTATTTAGCCCATTTTACACTTTTTTTCCGGGCTTTTGGCCCCATTTATTTAGCCTTTTTACACAATTTGGCTGCGCTGTTGAGCCCATTTTATACTATTCGGCCGGGCTGTTGGGCCCATTTATTTACCCCTGTGGATTCAGCCCCTAGGCCAAGATTTTAATAAATATTTATATTACGTATATATTAACTTTAAAACAATTTTATAACTTATAACGTTATTCTATTTGGGCTTTGGGCTTGTTGGGCATGCCAAAATAGTTAAATATACCTTTATGGGCCGGTCTTAAATATATATATCTCTGTGGGCCGGCCAGGCCACCATTAACCTACAGACACCTTTATTTTAACCTGAAAACCTCCAATTTGAAGATAGAAAGCATGCCAAACAATCCTATGCATTTCTTTTTACGATCAAAGAGTACGTATATCCAGTTAGTCCACATGCCTGGATGGAGAGAAGATGGTGGGAGCTCTTCCAAATTAAGTTGCAATTTTCTGCACCAAAACGATCATTGCATATAAACTATGCACTAGTACCTGATCATGCATATACACACACACATAGGCATCTATCTATCTGGATTTTCTCGAATAAACTTTCAATACATTCTAAATAAGTTGGGATAAATAGAAGAACATTGAGATATGGCATGTTGACTATGTAATACAATCTAAAGATTGATAATATACCTAGGGCGTGCATCTCCAGATAATTTCAAACAGTTCATACTTGCTCCAAACTACAAACCAACACCAGCCTTTTTTCAAGGGCAAGACCTGCTATATCGGGCTCGTAAAGCATCCAATTTTCAATTCTTGAAATCATCCAGCATTACAAAAAGTTGTGTACATGAACAGGGCAAAATAATTTGTAGGCCCAAGCACAATTAGGAAAGCAGATTTCTCATCAACCGAAATATGCAGAAATCTTACCAAACATGAAGGAGAATAGCAAGGCAGTAGAAAAGCGACTCATTTCCAACTCAGCATTTAAGTTCTAGTAAGGATAGCCAGAGGTGCAAATATTCTCCTTCCACGAAATCATTTTCCTGCGGTCCCTACCTCTAAAGGATCGACTGACAAGCCCGCCACTTACGGGCTTGCACAAACCAATATCGATCACTGAATTAGACCTCCTCTCAGAACACAGGTCACCATCATCCAAGAAGAAATCGAAAAGCATTGCAAGGCAAAGCACTTGGTGACCTAGAACTGCCCTTTCTTGATTCAAAGGTAGCATCCTTATAAGGTGAACATTGACCTGCATATGACATATGAACAACTTTTAACATATGTGAGTTCTGCCATATTGGGATAAGTTGAGTGCTGGAAGCTCACCTCTGCCTCCATTGCACAGAGTTCATTCAAAAACTCAGAACATGCTGCCTCCGAATAATCCTCCCCTTTCAAGGAACTGTATAGACTCAGTGAAAAATGCGGCGGCCTCAGAGGATATTCCATACTTATCTTGATCTAGCGAAAGAAAATTTTAAAGTAAGTTGTCCATACTTATCTTGATCTAGCGAAAGAAAATTTTGAAGTAAGTTGGTGAGGATGTAAGCATGAACAAAGAGTAAAACCAACACCAGGTCTAACCTTCGCTTCGAGTTTCATGTTTCTTTCATCATTATCCAACTTCCGGATAAGTACAAGGCAATATTCTTGGGTCCCACAGTCGGACCATGAATTGTCAATCACTGCTAGTCCTCCGAATGGTGATGTGTTATCAGATGTCTCCCCCACTGTGACTGGCTCATCTATTTCACTTTCAGATTCGAACATGAGATCAATATCATCTTCCTGCCTTCTAAAGCTCGGCGACTTTCCCTTGGTAATGGGAGATATAATACTCTTCGATATCAAACTTGTTCTTCTGGGAGTATGCTCGAGTTCAGATCCTTGTGTAGAGGTGAGTTTAACATCGTTTACACCAGTAGCAGCTGAAATCAAAGATGGTAGCTCCCCATCCTCTTTTGTAGTCTCCATCTCTTCTTTCGACACCCCAATTTTTCTATCTGTGTCGGAATTTGCAGAGGCCTGACCTCGTTCTAATTCAGCAACAGGCAAATGTGCAGTACTATTAAGCGCAGAACTCATGTATAACCATCCATGCAACTTGGATCTAGGCGCGTGTGAGGTCCATGGAACACTCTCACAAGTCACAGTTGGCCATTTAAGGTTCCTTAGTGAGTCAATTAACTCCCTGTAAGTCAACCAAGATGTCCAGGTTTTAAATGAAATATTATGCCGAGATATTAGGGAGCGCAGAATCATTTACTATTACCAAACACAAGTCAAACGACCAAAATAAGCATTCCCTCTCAAGAAACTTTATGATTGAAAAAACCGAATTGCACAACTAATATTAAAGAAGGATTAAAGTTTCAAATAGGCCACCAAAATTAGCTATATGTAACAAATTTCAAAGTACTCAACATGGAACATAAGTTGAGGTCTAGTTCAACTACATCTTTAATCTGCTCATAACATCCATTTGATCCTAATGTTCCATGACTACAGAAGGAAAAAAAAAACAGGGCAGTGACTCACGCAAGAGCCAGCTGAGCCTTTCTTCGAGCACGAACTCTTTGAATGACTGTCTGCACCCTGTTTTGCTGACGATAAATTGACAGACCCGATAAGATAGAAGCATGTTTCGTAGTTTCACTATTTGATTCTCCAGAGACTGAAACCAGTGGTGACACCTCCGGCAAAAAATCAATGCCCGCCAAATGCTGAGCCCATTTATATGGCCGTGAAGTTCTCCTTTCATCAAATGAAAGAGAATTCCCAACGCAGAGCTTGGCTGACTACAAAAAGTTGCAAAACCTTTTTCTCATTAAAATTAACACGCATCAAGCACATGGTGGGTGGCACACAAACTGAAAAAACGCACCTGCTGAGGGAGCTCCAACCCAGTGTCATCAGGGAACAAGTTGCACAAGATATTACTTTCGGGAAGTTCTTCAGAACCCTCCACTCCTACACACGCAACATTCAACTTTATTAAGAACTCGAACTTCAAGGTGATAAGTTTTGATGTGTTCAAGTCTGAAGCCTCGTCATCATCTATGTGCAGGATAACTTTAAGCGGGTGACTTTGATATATTCCAGACTGGTCGATGTTCTCCTTGCTTGGAACCTTCTTTGGTCGTTTTCTCCTCCTTTGACCATCATCTTCCTCATCTGGCACATCATCGTCTAACTTGGAGTTCTCGGAGTTTGTTGATGTAACTGAATTAATAGATCAGATTAAGGTAAGATATGAGGATCATCGATTTTGACGTACTTACAATTTATATCTACTGCTGATAACTTTTCCGATCTGACTACTAATAATCTGAATTCAAACAGGAAAATTATTCAACTTTTGGCAGGTAAATAGGGCCACACAATAAACTAATATATACATAGTTAGATACATGTTTTGATGTGAATATTCCCTGTGGTTCTAATTTTTTTCCAATTTAATAACAAAAAGAAATGTGAGTATGGTTGAGCCTATACAATTAAATGCAAGCATTCTTCACTTAAGAATATCATGCCTCAGAACTGAGAGTCATTATATTGGCAAGACACATAGCAGCAGGAAACAATGCATCTTTTACAGAATTACATCAAGTGACATACGGCAAAAAAATAGCACGGATTTGATGAGGTTTGCATGATCAAAATTTTTAGTGTGAGTTATAAGTATATTTTTGGTACCATTGTCCTTGTTAGCTAGCTGACGGGCAAACACCTGTGCGTCCTTTATGCTTCCTGTGATCTCCAGTTCAATGTTCTCGCCAAAGGCTTCCTTTTGAGCAAGTAACTGTGAGTATATTACATATAGAGGAGGTGCAAGCAACTCTGCTAATTGGTGCTGCTTTAGTTTCTTGGTGTGCAGAACCCCCAACTGATTCTGCACGGGCAAGGATGCCTTTCTGAGAGCTTTCAGATGTGAAGGAAGACTCGATAAAAACTTCTTCCTGTTAGTTATTGTCCCCTGGAGGGATTTCTTTTGTACTTCCAATTTCTCACGAAGCTTGCAGAGTTCTTTGCGCTGAACAGTTAATAAATACATCAGTACTTCAACATGATGCTTACACAGCCAACTAGCTCTTTTGCAGACATGACATGATAAGTAAGTAAAACGTATATCTAGCTAAGATGACATTACCATGGGTAGAAATACTGAAGATTAGCAACCTTGAGTTCAGCTATGAAACGATATAGACGCCTCAATTATTCATGAGATTATCATATTGTATTTTATGATCACCCCGTATAAACCAGGGAAGATTAGCAAATGGAATATGCCATAAAAAAATATATCCCATATAATTTCAAGATTAGAAATCAAACATCCAAACAAAAACCTGAAATTCTGATAAACAAATCAGAGTAAGAGGTAAGGCTTAAGATTTCACTCCTTCAAGATTTTATTGTGAACATTTAGTTTAAAATTTAAACCCTTAACCAGGAAATCAGTGATTGAAGCATAGTTTCGAATTAGTTAGCATCGTTTTTCCAACAATCTGTGGGTTATTACAATATTCATAATAATAATGTTTCTTTGCTTTCTCGCCTTTGGAAATTTCACTGGGGGTAAATTATTTTCCGACTCAACTTCGAACTAGCATTCTTGAAGATACATTAATTCTTCAATAGAACTAACCATGGTATTCATATCACACTATTCAGTTAAAAGGATGGCCTCAGGACAGATCATGCAGATAACGAAAACGAGCCTTGTTATTTCAAACAGAACTTGCCTGGAAGAGCTCATAGTTGAGCCTTTTCATCATCAAATCATGTGCAGTGTCAGTTGATAATACTGAGCTTTTAATCTCTTCTGGTGCACCCGTGAAGAATTCTTCCTCAGGTACAAGTTCAATGTCAGTGTACTTAGTCTTGAAGTCTTTGCAAGCTTTTATTGCTTTGACATAGTGATTTTTCTCGTACATCAGGTTGTGAAGCTGCAAGGTTGTCAAGTCTACAGGTGCTTTCGCACGTTCAGTTTCAGCCTTAACACGATCCTCTTCAATCAATATAGACCTGTTGGCCTGTTTAAATACCATCTGGAACTGAATAAGCTTGGCAACGGAAAGCACATTCACCACATACAGAAAGATGTCGATTATCCAGAATAAGCTATTTCTTACATTATTATTTAGTCCCAAAAACAAATCTGAATTTGGTACATTTACATCTCTCTCACTTTCACACCCACCTCAATTGAAAAGTTCAGTTAGTCCACTCGTTAACCATAGCATCTATTCAGTTATTAACCATTCCAACTATAAGAAATCATACGACCCCTAAATCATAAGAAACCCTAACCCTAATAATTTTGAGACTCCAGTAAAAAAAATTAAGAGAGTAAACCACACACACACACACACACAAAAAAAAAAAAATTTGAGGAGTACACTTGGTGCATATACCGGACCTGGCGAAGGGTAACGAAATTCAGGAGAATTTGAGTGACGTGTTCTCGGAGCTGGGATTTGGGGTGAGCTTCTCTCTTGATATCCAACATTTTAGCGACGATTTCCTCCGCTGAAGACTTTCCCCTTCGCAACATATCGTAGAGCGCCGCCATATCGACGTTGCGCTCCGGCAGTATCTCCCCGGGCTCCGCCATCGTCACCTCCATCCCCTGCTCACTTTGCAAAATAATGATAATTTGGGTTTACCGCTCTATTCTTTACCCTTTTGTTATTAATAATAATAAATACAATTTAATAATTAATAATAATAATAATATTTTTTTATTCATATAACTTGTATTATTCATATAAATATTTTTATACAAGTGTAAAGAATGCAAATTGGTCTAGGCCAATTTTTGTTCTCCCGAAAAATCATATAATACAATAGTTTAATATATGAACAATACTGATCGAAATAGATAGCCACTAAATAACGTAAATAGAGAAGTCTGAAATATAATCACACCTAATCTTAGGATGGTTACTCCTAAAAATATATGAACTCATAATCTTATTGTCTTTATTATCTAATCAAATTTAACGTTTGAGGTTCTTCTCTTTCTCCAAAAGCAAAAGGATGATTAGCCTATGTTGGCCTTGCGGGTAATTCAGACCATTAACTTATTTCCCCCTGAGGTGGCCCGACACTTCAAGTCCAACAGCATAAAAGACCTATATGCTCGGTTAAACCCGAGAACAATCTAATTCTTCGATCCTGGTCATTGGTTCTCAGTAGTTGACCCAAACCGTCCATTCGAGGTATTTAATCTTTGCCTCTCTTCCGAACCTTTGTTTTTCATTTTCTTATCTCACTTTTCTCGTCGTATCACCGCATTGAATTATCCTTGTCATTTTCAAGTGACATACTCATTTGACTATGACGATGGATATACCACTCTTGCTCTCTACTTTTCAGACAGTAGTCTTGTTTTCGATCTATGTAGCAAATCGTTTGAGAGAGAGAGAGAGAGAGAGTAACACACATGCAATTTGAATCACTCCCAAGTCTTTAGTGAGAGAAACACGAGAGAATTCAAAATTTGGTGAAATTAGGGATTTTGGATGAGAGCGTTGACCATGATCTGCGCTGTTCTTGTCCGATCTAAGGGTCCGATAAACTCAGTTTTGTGTTGGGCCATTAGTGCCACCAACTGTGGTGAAAAATCATGACATTGGAAATTGAGCCGTAACAAAAGGATTAGCATCTTCATGTTTATGGTTCGCTCATCATAGCCTTTATGTAATCATCACCTAAAACCTTTCCCCATATAAAATCTTTGTAATAGATTAGATATAAGTTTTCTTATGGTTTGTAATGAAGTTCAAACGGGTACCAACAACTTATTAAAGCATAGTTGCCAATTACCATAAAAAAAAATTGTAATCTCAAATTAAATATAAAAATAGTAACGCTAGAGTATATATTGATTTTTTTTTTTTTTTTTAATTTCTTAACTAGTGTTTATATTTCCAGAATTCTCTGAATTGTTTATAGCTACAACTAACACTCTAGTGGAAAAATAAATGCTCTGAGGTTGTCTGGTGAAGCAGACAAAAATTTTGCTCTTACCAAAAAAAACAGCAAAACATTTAATCCGTAGAGTTTCCATTCAGATTCTAACATGAACTGTGAATGGCCCTGTGCTAAGTAAAAGAAGAAGAAGATACTGGCATAATTAATTAATTAATCATTTTTTTTTTGTTGAATCAATTAATTAAATCATGTTTGGGCACGATGATTATTATGTTGGGGGAGATTTTGACTGGATTTTGGAGTATTATTTTTCACCTGACCCGATCCGACCCGATCGGACCGACGCGGTTTGACCGGAAAAGTGAGCCAGGCTGTATGGTCAGCAGAATTATAATAGAAGCACAAAAATACAATAACGTGAGGCCCAGCCCCTTTCACGAGGGCAGTGGCATATTTATTCTTCCCTCTTCGACAAGTCAATTGCTATTTAATGAGAATCCAGGTCATCTAATTTGGTAGAGACGAAGCTGATTGATTGATTGGTTTAAGATTCATACTAAATTTCATTGTTTTTTTTTTTTTTGAATAAAAATGTGATGAAACTGAAATGTTTATCATTGATGACAACAAGAATACTTAATATATGAATTTCTCACATGATTTCTAGTTTTAAATGTTAATTAATACCTAATTTTTTGTATATTGTTTTCTTATAAATGAATATCATGTAAAATCGAAATTTTGGAAAAATCGAAACTCGATGAATTCAGAATTAAATACATTGTTCTAAAATTGGATTTTTATATAATCGAAATCCATAGAATTAAGAAGTTCCATCACAATTTTCACGCCAACACCCTCGAACACACACGTATACACACTTATGTCTTTAAAACATAAATAAGGTAAATTACAGTCACCATTGAGCTAAAGTCAAATTACAAAAGGCGGCCGTTATATGCAAGTCCATTTTTTTATTAGTTCAAAACAACATAAAGGAGTTTATTAGTTCAAGTCCGCAAATTAATCTAATTTTATTACATCAAGACCAAAGATAACAAATATACTCTTATCCACAAATAAAACTCAAATACAAATAAATCTTATTTTTAATTTGTTCAAGACAAAAAATCAAAAAAAAAAAAAAAAAAGAAATATCACGACTCCCAACCAGCGAGACTTTCACCGCACCGGCTATGACCAGCTACCCACCCACTGCACCATTACCACCACCAACAAGTAAGTTTATTTTACTAAACTTTTGTTTGTAAATTCGAAAACATTAATCGAGCATCGATGTCCTTTTTACTAAATTTTTATTTGTAAATTCGAAAACATTAATCGAACATCGATTCTTGATAAATATGTACGAATGAACATTAATTTATGCTTATTTCTTGTTGGGTTGCAATGATTTGGCCGATTTTGGAAAAAAATTGAGATTGAAAATGGGTTTTTTATTTTTTTTTGGTTGGTTTCCGAGATCGGTTTATCCAGACCGATTTTGTACACGAAAATCGGCGTCATAATACCGATTTTTGTTAACCAAATCGGCGACACAACGCCGACTTTTCAAGTCAAAATCGGCGTTCTAATGTCGATTATTGAGTACAAAATTGGTTTTCGAATACCGATATTTTATGATTTTTTTTAAATAATACATTATATATTTGGTTAATTGATATTTTTTAAATATTTGGAACGAAAATGTTTATCACCATTCGGTGGCGTCTACCACGCCTTTAACCCAATCGAGTAGAGCTTTCCGTATCTCAAATATTTATTCGTTAGATAATTCATTTGAATAATCCTCCATCAATCCCCTAGGTTGATGCACGAAAGTATGAGAAAACGGTCTTCAAAAAACACAGATAATAAAATCGGTATTGAAAAACCGATTTTTGTAGTACAAGTCGGCATGACAATACCGATAATATAAAAACAAATCGGTGTTGTCATGCCGATTTTTACTACAAAAATCGGTGTTTAAGTACCGATTTTTATTAAAATAATCGGAATGTAGTTACCGACTTTAGTAACAAAAATCGGTATTTGCAGACCGATTTTTTGTATCGTCGAATTTTTTTCCCAAAAAAAAAAAAAAACGACCCAAAAGCAAAAATAAAGGGTTAAAACATATTTCATTGTGTTCTCCACCCTCGTAAACCACCATATCATTGTTTTCTGGTTTCATCGTGAATGTTTTGTATGTATTTGATAATTTTGGTGTGTAGGATTTCTTTGAGGGTTTGTGAAGAAGAAGGAGAAGAAGAAGGAGAGTTTTAAGTGGTGAAATAAGGAAGAGTGGTTTATGGATTTATGTATTTTATTTTGTCTTGCACAAAGGAAATAATTTCTTTTTATTTTTTAATGTTTAGTACTTTTTATTTAATTTTAAATTTCATTAAGGGTAAATTAGTATTTTTATATTGAAGGTCTTGAATTAATAAAAAAATGGGCTTGCATATAACCGCCGCCATTACAAAAACCTCCTTATATTTGAATAATTACAATCACCCCTCAATTATGAATCTCTTTACACGTTCATCATTTCAATGCCAAATTTAGTGGAATCTTCTAGATTATGTTGAATATTCTTTAGTTTGTACCAGGTTTATCTATTCGAGCTCGACATTTTGAAACAAGATAATCATAAAATGTGTTTCTTGGCTTGTATATATCAGACTGTGGTGCATCAAAACTCCATTTTTGCACAAAACGAGTGCAAACTAGAGAACATTTCACAAAATCTAGAAGATTATGTTGAATTTGATAGCATCATAGTATATCATAATAAGGGTGAATGTGCAATAAGATTCATAATTGATGGTAGTTGTAATTACCCAAAATGATGGGTTTTTTCGTAATTTGACACTTTATATCTATATTTCTTTTTTTCTCATTAAAGAAAAGTTGTCATTTCATCTAATTCCTCTTTCCTCCATTCACCGTAATATATGCTAAATTACCCTCCAAAATCCAGTCAAAATCTCCCCCAAACATAGAAAGTAGAAAAAAAGCTGATTTTTTTTTTTAAAGAATCACACTTACAAAAACTTTTGTTTAACAGAAGCATCATGATTAAGACACCATCCCTTGATCCCCTCAAACTCCAAAAAGCACCGTTTTTTCTTTCTTTTTTCTTTACGTAAATCCATAGGCGAACAATTTTTCAACCCACACACACACACACTCACACACTCCCCCACATCTGAAACAGCACATGACAAAGACACCATTTTTATATATGATTGTAATAACAAATTAGAGAGACCCCTATTCCAGATTTTTCATGTAGCCCCCCCACCCCACCCACACCTCTCCTCTCTACTCTCCCCCTCACCCCCCTAAGAAGAAAAAAAAAAAAAAGATGGCAGAGCTGGGTTTTCAAGACTCGAGATCGGGCTTCAGGGCCCGAGATTTAAGCCCGGATTCCGTGATTTTCACTCCTGAATCAAACTTCAGTCTCTTCTCTTCCGCTTCTGCTAGTGTGGAGCGCTGCTCTTTCACCTCTGATATACCCGATCAAGATTCTGTTTCCTCTGCACTCTCTCAAGTAATGCTCATGCATCCCCTCCATTTTTTTTATTTTTTATTTTTTATTTTTTGTAAATTGAGATGTTGTTCTTTCGAGCTTTCATGGCTGCTTGGGATCAACCCCGGAAAAAAAAAGATTTTTTTATATTTTTTTAATTGCAAATGTTGGTTATATTATGTTTTCTTTACTTTCTGTTTTTAGGCAAGGAAATGGTGTGTGGTGGGGGGAGGGGGAATCTATGAACTAGATTTTGACAGATGGGTTTTTTTGGTTTCTAGCATTTTGATTTGTTCTACAGCTGTAGTAAAAAATGTAGCTTTCTTCCTTTCTTTCTTTCGAATCGAACAAGAGTACTACCTGTCTAGTTTCAAAGGAGCAAAAGAAAAAAATAAAAATTAAAAATTGAATCTTTGATTTTGAAGCAGCATTTGGCAGTGCATGATTTATCTCAAGAATTGAGTGGTCCGGATCCAGATCCGAACAAACCCATATCTGTACACAAGAATAGCATCACCCTCAGCAAAAAGGGTAAAGCTAAAGGTACTGTTTTACCCCTTTTTCTTGATTTTGATCTCCACAAAAAAGAAAAAAAGAATCCAAGTATTAATTTTTTCCATCAAAATACTTTTTAACTGATGTTTTCCCTCCATTACAACTATGTACTTCAGTTCAAAAACTAGATAGCAGCGATGCCGACACCACGGAGGATGAAAATGTAGCCGCAGATTCTGCGAGAAACTCCTTCTCTCAAGCGCTTAAAGGTAATTAAATCAATTCAGTTGGTGTGTATAAGTAATTGTCAATTCAAGATTCAGTACTTATGTATTTCTTGGTGTGATTTTGTTCGATTTAGAATGTCAAGACAGGAGATTCCGATCCGAAGTTCTGTTGAAAAAACCAAACCATCAACGACCGGCTTCGCTCGATCTAAACAGTTCTTCGCCGAGGCTTAAAATAATGAAGAAACCGTCTTCCGCAACTCCAAGAACCGCCAATTTCCCGAGCCCCGGTACGCCCAACTACCGCCACTCGAGCGTCGGTGTTCAAAAAGGGTGGAGCTCCGAGCGAATTCCACTCCACTCGAATGCGAATCGAAGAAATTTGAACACCGCACTGTTGCCTTATAATACTAACGGAAGGACTCTGCCTTCGAAATGGGAAGATGCAGAGAGATGGATTTTCAGCCCCGTAACGGGAGATAGTGCGTTGAGAGCTTCGTTCCAGCAGCAGCCACAGAGGCGGCCGAAATCGAAGAGTGGGCCCCTCGGCCCCCCTGGGGTTGCTTACTACCACCTGTTTTCTCCGGCACCGCCAGAAGGAGGGGGGAAACAGGCGGCGGATTCTCCGTTTTCCACCGGAGTCATGGCCTCCGGCGGAAACTTCCTCATGGGCACGGAACCTTGCATGGCGAGGTCGATTAGTCTACATGGATGCTCGGAAATGATTAGCCAATCATCGTTGACGGGACATCATGGTATATATATATATATATGAAATGTTAAATGTCGTTTCCATCTTAGGTTGTATTATCATATTCATGTCGTATGACTTCTTGTTAACTATTTTGTCTGATTATTACAGACGAGAAATACGGGGGCTATGAAGATGCTGCGAATAACATATCCCGTGTTGTTTCGAGAAGGGATATGGCGACTCAAATGAGTCCAGAGAGTAGCATGCAATCTTCGCCAGGGAGAATTTCGTCATTTTCACTAGCGACCCCTTCTGTACTACCGTTGCAGAAAATCCGTTCTTCTTCCAAGCAAGAAATCAGGGATGTAAAAATTGACGAAAGGGTTACGGTCACGAGATGGTCGAAGAAGAATAATAGTCAAAATGCCAATGACTGGAAAAGAAAAAGTGTAGACTTTCACTCGGCAAGTTGGGAAGTTGTTTCGGCAGAGACTTCAACGAGTGTTTCGAAGTAATTTTTTTATTTAGTTTAAGAAAAAAAAAAAGAATTAATCCAGCACGAAATGCTATAATCACTCGTGTTAACTAACTCTGCCATTTCAGGATTGAGAGGGAGGAGTCGAAAATTACTGCTTGGGAGAATCTGCAGAAAGCAAAAGCTGAGGCTGCAATAAGAAAACTAGAGGTAATTTAGTTTAGATAATAACAGAATCTATATATATATATATATATATTAATATTGTGGTAAATAATTTAGATGAAGTTGGAGAAGAAGAGGTCATCATCCATGGATAAAATAATGAACAAATTGAGATATGCGCAAAAGAAGGCTCAAGAAATGAGAAGTCATCAAATTGGAAGACCGTCGGAAAAAGCATTATCCTTTCGTAGGGCTCGTCAGATTACTTCACTCAGTGGATGCTTTACTTGCCATGCTTTTTAGTTCATCTACACCATAGGTATATTCTTCGGCACAAACCATCTCTTCCAATTTATTATCGACTATTAGTTGTAAGTCTAATTTTTGCTTTTTTCTTTTTTTTTTGGCAAAAACTTTTATCTAGAAAAAAAAGAATGTTCGTTCGGATGAGCAAATATCGTAACGGGAAGCTCTGAAAATGGAGTAGATTGAGTTTAGCAGCAGGATAATCTTGGGAAAATTCTCGACCGTGGTTTATGGAATTAATTCAGGTAGTGAAAATGATATCCTGGAGTGGTTGTATTTTGTAAGTATGTACATCAATTCGATGACCCTGTGTGAAAGAAACGAGATCCGTTTGTGGATTAACTCACTGAGTTAGTCCTAATTTCCTCTACATTGCAATAATATCAGTCCGTTCGTTTTCAGATGAGTTTACTCAGTGCACATAGATGCACACAACACAGTAAGACGAAAAAAAAGAAAAAAATATATATAATAATAAAGTTCAAACAACGACAACTCTCGATTTATTCGATACTAAATAGTTACGGAACTAATTTTCAATAGTTCAGCATCATCGTACGATATGATTTGCAATCAGATTTGTTTGCGATTTTTATTTGGAGGATAAATAAATTTCCCGAGTCTGGTGAGATTAACATAATCCATAGTCAAATGTTCGGTTAAGCCCGGGACAGTTAAACCTGTTATCCTCAATATTTTCATCAACCAACCTTCTCTATAATCCCTGCCCCGTGTCCAAGGTATAATGAAACTTCTAATCAGCTCGTAAACCGCGATTAAGATCTTCGGTAGGAGATAAAACAATGAGAAATAATTCTTGTTTGGTTCCTCCTCCAGAGCCTGTTCATTTCGTCTAATTTCTTTTAATAATAATGATCATTAATCTCTTAAATAATTAATTAATTACCGTTTTGATTACGATTACCTGGCCTTTGTAGCAGCTGTTGAAGTACAGACACGGCCCGAAGTGCTTGTACAAGAAGTACTTATCATCGTACGGCAACCTCGGCACCATGTCATTCGTATAAACGTATCTGAAATAGTTGACACGGTATTTCGACATTTTTCCCTTCATCCACTCCCCGAATTGCTCGTTCCCCACCCGTGGCTGCCCGAAAGTGTAGACTCCCTCCAAATGGTTAAGTAGCGTATCCTCTTCGTGAAAAATCAGAATGGTGACGAATAGAATTGCTAATGCCCCACCAAGGCTGTGCCCCGTCACCACGAATTTCGCATCCCAGTTTTCCTTGATTAGGGTTTTCAGTTTCTGCCGGATTTCGTAGTAGGCGAATGTTTTGCCAGTGGCGGCTGGGAGTTCCTTGGGCCAGCCGGTGGAGCTCTGCAGGCCAAGGGCTTTCATGAAGCCGCCGTGGATTTTTCCGATGCCATCAAACTCGTACCACGAAATGTCCACGTCAGCTCGCCATGCGCCGGCGTCGAACGGCTCTGTTCCTCGGAATGCTACTACGATTAGGTTGGGTTCCGCGGTTTTGTCTTGGATCATAATCGCAATCGTGTTTATTTTCAGGTGATCTGCAAATATGCAGTATGAAACTATTTTCAATTGTTTTTATCAATTTAATTCCTCCATATATATATTTTTCAAATTTTAAAAAAAATATTGAAAAATAATAATCTCTCCACAAAGAAAATCGAGATTTCGCTTTCTTACCGTCACTAGCAAAACTAGGATTTTAAGTTCTCGCGGGGCGATAATGTTAATTATATACGATTTTTTTCAAATTTTAATATAAAAATAGGGAACATAATCAAGAATTGTTGGAGGGGCCATGGCCCCCTCTAGCCCTATGCTGGCTCCGCCACTGCTTACCGTTCCAGAAGTTGTAGAAGTCAAGGAATTGCATCTGTATCAAATTGATCAAAATAAATAAGAGATAATTAAATTAGAAGTAATTAATTAAACAAAAAAAAGTATGTTCACCCACAAAAAAAATAAAAAAAATAATGAAGTATGTAATATACCTTCCAATAATTTGTAACAACATTTTGAATAAATGATTGATTCTCATAGGATAATTTGGAAGCCATAATAGCAAGGGATGCACTATACTTGGTGCTGCCACGTGTAATGCTTTTGTCCAATTCAATTCTCTTGTCTATACTTCCAACAAATGACGTGAATTTCACCGATGTTCTGTCTGGTCTCACCAGCTTCCCTAATAATTCGTTATTTCTCCGATTATATTAATTAATCCTCACAAGAATTGCATTAAGAAAAAAATAATATGATATATTTACCAAAAATCACTTAATTCCTTCATTTATAATATAACATGCATGCATGCATGCATAAAAAGTGTTCTATACTATATATCTCCTTGATGACTTTAATGGAATTCATATATATATATATATATAAAACCTGTGAAAAGATTGATGGGCAGGCGAAAGAAGCCACCGTTTGCCGGCGGATAATTAAGCAAGAGCTCCACCAGATTCCCCACCAGAGCCAAAGGCTTGGTAAATAAAATTAGGATTTTTTGTAGCAGCAAAGACACAAAAATAATCCATCTTTGGTGAAAAACAGTAATAAATCCACCTTGTCTGCGCTTGTCGGAAAATTGTTACTATCTAAATTACTCGAAGATAATATTCGAAAGAAATCGAAGAAACTGGCTTCTTCGGGTTCAAGCAAAAGATAGTTCTCAGTAATATTAACTCCTCCACGCCTTGTCTGCGAGTTTCGCAAAAATTCTTACTATCTAAATTGTTCGAACATAAGACCCGAAAGAAATCGAAGAGACTGGCTTCTTCGGGTTTAAGCAAAAGATAGTTCTCAGAAAATGCTTGTTCATCACCAACACCCATGGCTGTTACGTTGCTTGAAAGCAATGGAAAAAGCAGTACTGATGAGTTAAATTTGCATCAGAAGCTAGCTACTTTTTATAGGGTTTTTTTTTCGAAAAATTGGCTAGACACCAGTTATTCTGTACTTATATAGATGGGTGCCCCTCTCTCTCTCCCACTCATTCTCTCTCTCTCTCTCTCTCTCTCTCTCTCTCTCTCATATTACATAAATTACAGCAAAAAAAAAAAGGTAGACAAAAAATTAAATGATGAGCTGGAATTAATAAAAGTAAAGGAAATCTGTACTAATTTATGAATATGATATATTAAATAAAAATCGCTTAATTAGTTGCTTCATTTAAAATATAACATCCATGCATAAAAAGTATTGCATATTATATATCAGCTTATATAATAAATTAAAAACCATGAGTTTAATGGAATTCATGCATATATATAAAATTACCTGTGACAAGATTGATGAGCAGGCGAAAGAAGCCGCCGTTTGCCGACGGATAATTCAGCAAGAGCTCCACCAGATTCCCCACTGCCGCCAAAGGCTTCGTGAATAAAAATAGTATTTTCTGTAGCAAGACCGACACGAAAACAATCGATCTATGGCGAAAATCGGTAATAACTCCACCTTGTCCGCCAGTATTGCAAAATTCCTTACTCTCTAAATTACTCGAAAATAAGATTCGAAGGAAATCGAAGAAACTGGCTTCTTCGGGTTTAAGCAAAAGATAGTTCTCACAGAATGCTTCTTCATCACCAGCCATAGCTAGCTGTTGCTTGAAAGCAATGGAAAAAGAAGTACTGATAATTAGTTACATTTCCATCAGAAGCTAGCTACTTCTTATAGGGTTTTTTAGGGCGAATGCCAAAAAGGCTCATCACATTGGACTTAAATGCATTTTGGTCCACAAGAAAAACAATCTTTCAATTAAACACATCCCCATGTTTTTAGCCTAAAATACCCTCCATAATATAATTCTTATCAATTTCATCCATTATGCTCTAACTTCCCTAATATTACACATTGACCTCGAATTTAAACAAATATATCACATTAACCCCCAAAAATATTTTTTTTTTCAGAAAATAATTGTTTTTCTGAAAAAAAAATTTCCGGCCAGATTCCGGCATTGACTTTTTTTTTTCCTGAATTTTTTTTCCGCTCGGTCAACCACCGTTGACTTTTTTTTTTTTGAATTTTTTTTCTTTGAAAAAAATATTTTAATTAATATTACTGTCTTGCCTACTAAATTACTGTCTCAAACAGTAATATTAGTGTTTGGAACAGTAATATTGTGAATATTATTTTCCAGAACAGTAATATTATTAATATTATTGTCTAAGACAGTTAAATTACTGTTGGAGACAGTAATTTAGCAGCCAAGGCAGTAATATTAATTAAAATATTTTTTTTAAGAACAAAAAAAGTCAATTAACAGTTAAATTACTGTCTCCGACACTTAAATAACTGCTGGAGACAGTAATTTAGCAACGAATACAGTAATATTAATTAAATTTTTTTTTAAGAATAAAAAGTTAATTAACAGTTAAATTACTGTCTCCGACAGTTAAATAACTGCTGGAGACAGTAATTTAGCAACGAATACAGTAATATTAATTAAAAATATTTTTTTAAGAATAAAAAAATCAATTAACAGTTAAATTACTGTCTCCGACAGTTAAATAACTGCTGGAGACAGTAATTTATCAACGAATACAGTAATATTAATTAAAATATTTTAAAAAAAAGTCAATTAATAGTTAAATTATTGTTTACGACAGTTAAATAACTGCTGGAGACAGTAATTTAGGAGCAAAGACAGTAATATTAATTAAAATATATTTGAAGGAAAAAAAAAGTCAATCAACAGTTAAATTACTGTCTCCAACAGTTAAATAACTGCCGGAGACAGTAATTTAGCAGCCAAGACAGTAATATTAATTAAAATATTTTTTTAGAAAAAAACAAAATTATTAAAAAAAAAAAAAAGTCAACGCCAGAGACCCGGAAAAATTTCAAGGAAAAAAAATTCAAAAAAAGAAGAAAAAAAAAAGTCAACGCCGGAGATCGGCGGGCCGGTCTCCGGTGGTGGCGAGTCAAAATTGAAATTACGGTTACAATTGGTTAATTGATGAAATTGGGCTAAATTGGGGTGTAAATCATGAAATTGGAGCTAAATTGAGTTTCAATAAATTGGGAATAATTTTAGTATATATAAAAAGATTTTCCTTATTTTCAAATAAGTTTGAATGAGATGAATTTATTTGAAAGACAAAAAAGTTGGATGTCCCTCTTTTAATTAAGTGCCCTTGTCATGGGCCTTTTTGTGATTAACTTTTTTTTCATTTTGTGATTAACTTTTTTTTTTTAAGAGAGAATTGCACAAAAGCCCTTGTGTGATATTTTGCATTGCTAAGAAACCCTTATTCTTATCTTTATTTGCTAGATTTCCGCCTTGTGGTTTCATTATGCATGGGGATGGAAATTTGAACTTAATTTCGGGTTTTCCCCATATTTCGATTCGAAATTTTTAATTTTGGAACAATAAATTTTATCCTTATTTCCGAAATTTCCAGCTTCATCCATAGTTGGTATATGTATGGAATTCGATTTAAATTTCAAATAATAATTATAATAAATCCAAAATTTTGAACATAATTTTGGATTTCCGCCATATTTCGATTCTGAAATTTTCAACATTGGAACTAAAAATTCTGTATTTAGCCGATTCTGAAACAATTTATTTTCACTTCAATATTCCAAACTATCATAGGGGTTTTATGTCAATAAAATTAATTATATGATGAATTTTTGACAATTAATTTGATCAAGTATAGGGGTTCATGCCGGATAAAAAAAAAAATTATGTTGCAGGGGCAATTTAGTTACCGCTGAAAATTTTGGATTAGAATAATAAAGCAGTAAGTGATTACAAAATTAAGTCTGTATACCATATTTAGTTATTGCGTAAGTGGCCCTTGTGATATTATTAATTGTTACATCAAGAGGATTAATTTAAATTGAACTTCTTCCCCCCACTTTTGTTGATACAAATACTAAGGAGGAGCATTCAGTATTTACTTTTTTAGGTCTCTTTTCCTGTATTGCACTACAACCAACTACTACAGTGGGGCTAGGGGCGGTGGGCGCAAAGTAGTTGTCTTTCAAAAAAAATTAGTGTGTTTACGTATCGAATAATTAAGTACGGACTAATGGTTGAAATAAGTGAGCTTGAGTCAGTTGATTAAAGTTCGAAACCCCTTACCAACGTCTTCTTCTATGTTTTACATCTCTCGTATGGTTTGCAAGCTATTATACGAGAGTGTAGGTTTACTCAGTGCATCTATATAATTTACTGCAGGTTCTTTCATTACCAAAAGTCCGAAATAGTTTGCAAACTATTATATGATAGTGTAAGTTTACTCACTGCACCTATATAGTTGGGTTGCGGGTTCCTTTATTGCCAAAATGGTTTACGAGCTATTTATATAATAGTGTAATTTTACCAAGAACATCTATATGCCCGAATGCAGGTTTCTAAAAAAAATATGGATTTTATTTATTGAATAAAAATGAACTGGCCTCTTATTTGCTACATGAGGTTAAATATAGCATTTTCAGGCCCACTTGAATTCCAAAAGTTCGGCTGCGTTTGTTAAATTCATTACCTAGATGTAGAATCAGAATATTTTTAGCCCAATGGGCTTGATTATGCCTTCTAAGTTATGTCATTAATTTAATTAATAATAAATGTCTTTGAAAAAAAAAAAAAGTGGTAGGGCAAATGAAATAAGAGATATCATACAGGTGGACGAATATGATGCAAAAAACAGTCCAACATTGAATAATAATGCCTCATAAATTCAAGAAATAGGTGGACAAGGTTTTCTTAAAAAAAAATTGAGAAAAATGTTTGCAATGGAATCGAAATTCAATTAACCTTGCACAAAGGGACAAGGGAGCAATAATTTATGGTTTAGTATTTGTCTTTTTCCATGGTGAAAATGGTCCCACTAAATTGAACAATCATATCTAACCAACCATAAAACTTAAATTCTATATCTACTATAGTATTTTAATGCGTTCAAGGTGAGGTCTTATCAATCGATTTTAAATTAATTTTCCACCATTATCATTTACCTATAAATGTATGATACATTGTTACAGAATTATCATAATCGTGCAAACCCTAAATACGTTTAATTAATTTGTATGTATGAAGAACAGCAAATAAAAATAGAATAAAGAACACAAATTTTGACGTGCTTTGACCATGAACAAGGCCTACATCTATCGGTAAAGGGTGCAATGTTTACGTTTAATTATTTGTATGATCTTCTCTCTAGTGTATCTCACGTTTTTGTTCTACAACTTTTCTATTATCTCTGTTGTTTTTCTCGTGTTTTCTTCTCTCTTGACCTCGTATTTTCCGATCTGCATCCCACTGGCTCCAAATCGTAACAAATAGCTCCGTCTGTATCGACCAGTGGCCCACGGAGACAATATCATACTAATACTAATGTAGAGATGTGTCGTCAAGATCGAAACACAAAGTATATGTATGTTTTTGAGACAGTTTCTTTTAGACATGCATGTACCAAGTATCCACATAAATTCGAACACACCAAACTTCACAGATCAATGACAAGTGTATGCATACATACACACACGTATATTTATATATATTCATGTATATATATAGGTCAAAGTATTATCATCATGTAGCTCACGGAACATATATATATATATATATATATATATATATATATATATATATATATATATATATATATATATATAAATAAATAAATAAATTATCCTTGAGAAAGTGGTGGACAAATGAAGAGTGTTGTTACATACAGTGTATTTGGGAGAGAAAATTAAAGTTCAATCCCCCCATCAATTTCTTGCAAATTTATTTATTTAATTTGAAAGAGTCTCCAAATGTAAATGTAACAAAATGCTGGGACCTCACTGGATTTTCCCACATGGGTTTCTCCCTCTTCAATTGTTTGACCATTATTTCTATTTTTTTATTTGATTTTTAAAAATCTTTATTTATTTTGTGTCAAAATGGTCCTAGATTTTATTTGATTGAGTTTGAGATTTGGATGATGTAATCGATTACTTTTAGTGAAGCATGATCTATGCGACACAAATTGTAGAAAATATTCAATACTTCAAAATCTGTCTCATCTATTATTTTAGGGTAAATTACACCCACACCCCTGAGGTATGCTTAAATAACTTTAAGGTCCCTGTGGTATCGATAATTACACTCACCCCCTGAAACGTAATTAGAAACTCTAACGGGATAATGCGTTGGATACATTATTCCGATGGGGTTCTAATGGACTATTACTTTTAGCTAGTGGTGGAGATAACATAGAGTTATGGGGAGTTATGGTGTGACATGGCTCACCCAATATTTCTTAAATCACCCATAACTCTTTGTTGTCTCCACCACTTCCTGAAACCAATAGTCCGTTAGAACTCTATCGTAATAACGTATCCAATGTATTATCCCATTAGAGTTTATAACTACGTTCCAAGGGGGTCAGTGTAATTATTGATAGCACAAGGACCTTAAAGTTATTTAAACATACCTCAGGGGTGTGGGTGTAATTTACCCTTTATTTTATACAATTAGTAGTAACGGTGTGTAAATTGTAACTAATTGTTACATGACAATCCTTTTAAAGCATCTCAATTGCTTCAAGCATTTGCTATTTATTATTTTAATATCTAAACAATTAAATCCCAATTTCCTAAATCTTGATTTTTATCGATTAATGTTGTAGAAACAAAAATGAATAAATAAATAAATAATTTATTAATTAATAAGTAGCCTAGAGAAGAAAAAACTGACGCCGCACTGGTTTTATTTAAAGTTCAGACTGTGAATAAATCATACTGAGGTCAGGTTTAGTTCGATATCTATTGGTGGGTTAAATTGCTTCAAACTTCAAAAAAATGTGCCAAGTCCCAAAGCACTAGTATTAAATAGTTATTACAATTATGAGCTATTAATTATATATATTCCATTACAACAATAATTTCTAAATAATCACGTCTATTAAAACTACGTTTAGTCACTTTCTACAATATTTTTCTATAATTTATGGCTATTTATCCATTTTCTTAATGTATATGCAAAACCAGTTTAAAGAAAAATTATAATTTGTTAAGAGTAATTTTATTTAATTTGGAAATATTTTTTTCATAAAATTGATTTACCAGTAAAAGTGAAAAGAAAAGATTTACGGAAAGAGGTTGACATAGACTGACACGTGGGATTGGGAATGAGCACGTAGGTAATGTTCACGTGGCAGTGCAGTGGTATTACTATTATATTAAATAAATATTACTCCAGTACGTATTATGATGTATTAAAACACCACCGCACAGTGTCAGAAGTTCACGTGGATTTCTCGTGCCTTGGCGTATCATGATTATGCCCTTATATGATTTTATCCTTTGCCTTTTGTTTGCACACTCTTTAATTTTGATTTTGGCGTATGATCTCGCAACCAAATTTCTATAATTAGGCATCTATTGGACCAATAATATTTTTTTCACATAAATAAATATTTATATTTAGAAGAGTATTAATATAATGATGCATTCATTGCATTTTATACTAATGATAAGGGAAAATTTGGAAAAAAAACTAATTAATAATGAAGTGGGATATTTGTAATTTTGTATGATAGAAATGCAAGTGATTAAGTGACAACATGATATTGAGAAAATAAAAAATTCTTGGTTAAGATCCTTAATCTGACTCAAAACCATTCAATTTTATAAATTCAAAATTCATTACCCGACTCAAAGTTATTCAAATTATCCAAAACTGTTTTAAACGGGTCGATTCCAGGTCTAAGACCCGGCAAACTCGTAACTCGTTACCATCCCTGAAAGAGAGTGAACAATGAACATACACATATTCACCGGACCTACAAGTTACCAGTTTAAGGAGCATGTGTTTGCTAGTTGACCCTTTTTGGTGCAATGAAAATGCATCAAATCCAATTTTCCAATGGTCCCAATTCCCAATCGCTTTATTTTATTTATTTATTTATTTTTATTTTCTTGCTTCTTCTCTCTCTAGATTTTCTCTCTTTCTTTGTCAAACATGACAAAAAACTGCTGTGGGGGAATGGAGATAGTTTGCACATGGGGTTTTAATTAATCCAAGCATAATAATCAGTGTTGATTCTACTTAAAGATATAGTAAGCACTGAAAACCATTTTCTTTGACCTAATTAATTATATTTAATACTCCATTTGTTAATTAATTTAAAGATTTTGCGGCTGCCTCAAAAAATATTTATTTAATCACATCGATTTCCAACGTTTTACTATTACTCCACATAATAAGGGCAATCATAATTAAGTTGATAACGAAAATATATAGCCCACTTTCTTTAATTACAAAAAAAAAAAAACCCACAATTAATCCCTTAATCAAAGCGCGAAAGGCCTCTTAATTTTTCACTAAACAAAGTTAATTAATAACTCTCTCCCTCTATCAGCTGCATGCCTTAAAACAATAATTAATTAATTAATTATTCAAGCATCTGCACATTCGGAGGGGAAGACTGACGGTACCCCTTCATATTATTCATCCCCGCCGGAAAATAGTTCCCACTCAACATCGGCACCGGGAATCCAATTCCGTCCGGCGCCGCCGCCGAGGGACGATTCGCCGACACCCTCTCGAGCGACTGAACCTGGTTCTTCAAGAACTTGACGTAATGAATGGCCTCGTCGAGCATGGAGGCTGTGTCCATCTTGGTCCCGCCGGGGACCAGTCTCTGAAGAATCCGAATCCGCTCGCTGATCCTTTCCCGGCGGTGGCGCGCCGCCACGCTCTGGGGGTCGGTCGATATCTTCACGTTCCTCCTCTTCGGCGGCTTCACCGATTCCGGGTCGATGTGGATCGGCTGCATTGCCGCTATCCGAAAAATCATCTCCCGCATCGCCGCCATATTCGAGTGCCGCTTCTGTGCCGCCGCTCCGCCGCCGCTACCGGAGTGGTCATCGTAATATTCGTTAGTTTGCCATCTTCCGCCGCTGGTATTGGGCGGTGGATGCTGCAGGAACGACGGCGGCTCGTGATGAACCCCGCCGGAAAAAGATATGGTGGAAGAAGGGTGGTGGTGGTGGTGGTGGTGGTTCATGAATGTCGGATTTTCAAGAACGGTGTTATTATTATTGGTAAACTCATCCATAAGAGGAATATTGTGATGATCGTAAGTGGCGGTGGAGAAATCTGGAAGCTTATCCATCTGCATCAACATCATTTCCATCTGATCTTCAGCAGCAGATTTCATGAATTCAATATCCATTTTGAAAATAACTTAATATATATGTGTGTGTGTGTGTGTGTGTATGTATATATATGTATGATGAATAAAAAGAGAGAAAAAGTAGAAAGCGTGAGAGAGAGAGAGAGATGGGTAAGTTAAGAAGAAGGAGAAGACTGATAGTTTTATCAGAGAAGAAAAATGTAGAGTCGACGAATTGAAGTTACAATAAAATAGTGAATTTCGGGAACTGCAGTCTAATTGAACCACCACTCACGCAGGTTATAAACTATATATACATGCAAGTGGTTCATTATTAATTAATATTGTTATTTTTTTTAATATATTATATATTTGTATGTATATAAAATAAAATATTATATAGAGACGCCTTACTAATTATTATATTATATATATTTTGTTTATATAATATAATGGCAATTATCATAAAGTTGGTGAACTTTTATTTTTTTTTCTTTTCTGAAAAAAATCAAACAATCTTGCCTAGCTAGCTTTAGTTGCTATATTATTATATGCATATGAAAAATGTCAGATATAATTCGATCGGGTGTATATGATTTTATTATATATGCATTGCTGTGTTGAAAAGCATCATCGAGCCAAATCGATGATCTTTGAAATATAATTATTATGGGTTAGCTCATACATACGTATGACAAACAGATGAGAAGGATCCCACCCAATTAATGTATACATATAAAATATGAATTACAATATAATTGCATTAACTTGATTTTAATTTTTACGGAATAACATGACATTTCTCATAGCATAATTAACTGGGACTTCAATTACCTATAGCTTACTAATATTCAACATGACACTCTAAATACTAAATTAATCAAAGATCGAACTCGTAATTATTTTTATTAGCTTTGTTGTTTCTTTTTCAATCATAAACAATGATTATGTAGAGAGAGAGAGAGAGAGAGAGAGAGAGAGAGAGAGAGAGAGAGAGAGAGAGAGAGAGAGAGAGAGAGAGAGAGAGAGAGAGAGAGAGAGGCGAATTTGGGGCTCTGGGCGTACCAATGGCAGAGATCTAATCTTATAAGTACTTTTGGTGGTGCACAAGTATATATTAATTTGTATAGTAATATATAATTTATATACCAGTAAGAATATATATTATATAAATTTGAGTGGAAACAGTACTTTATAAATATGATCGATAACTCTTAACTTTGGCTTAAATATTACTTTCTTTTAACAACCCATAAAACCCCACTCACATGACACTAGTCAGTAGTCAGAACCCTGCCAGTCCACTCACCTGCCGGTGGGGCTCCGGCGCCGGTGGTTCTATGTATTACACCATTATTTAATTTCATTTATATTCATGCATGGCCAATATTATGCACCAAATTAACCGACATCTAAATAAAAGTACAATTATTAGAAAAAATATAAGGGCCGGACCAACTATATATGTATTTCACCAAGTCAAGATTCATATTGATCATGTGTCCGATCAAAAAATGTTTAATCATATAATTAAATAATTATTCATTTTATGATAAATTATAGTGACCAATTATTCTGGAAGCTTCATAAGAACGTACATACCACACCCCACCAAGAAACGAATATAAAACAAATTGGGTTTGGCACACTAATCGAGGTAGATCGATCAGGTTATATATATGACTGCAACACAACTGTTTCATGTGATGTTATGTGTATATATGTCTTAACCGATTTACCAACTGTTATATTTACATACATTTTCAGTTAGGTTATTTGTTTTCAGTTTATCAATCTCTTTCTGTTTAGGGTTGCCTAGCTAATTACGTTATTTAACTAACATTATAAAGCATAATTTTAGATTAGTGATTATTATTAAGTATATATATTATTGTGTGAGTAGCTACTATCTAGATCCTGGGTTGAACGTACGGTTGAGATCAATCAGCAGGCTGCAGCAAAACTCCAATTATCAGAACATATCTAAGGGGAACACATTGACAAAGACACATAACGGGTATATTATGAACACAGAACCGACAGAGTTTATTAAATGCATGTCTCATTAATTATAATAATTAGTGTTCATGAATATTATTCACTTCAATCATAATTGATTTTAATTCACGGTACTTATATATAATTCACTTATGTTCTTTCATAACTAGAACTCAGATTAAAATTAAAGTTCCAAAAGCAACAATAATATTTTTCCAAAAATAACTTTTATTTATTTATATAAACTGCTAAATTAGTGCAAAAAACATGAGAAATTAGATGTTACACCTGATTATTTATACTGAGTGAATTTGAACCTTAAATCTACATATAATCATACACACACACCTATTCAATCAAATTACAATTCAGATACACTTGGTGTAAATAATAATCGTGTGTAGTATCTAATTCTAAAAAACATGACGCATGCCACAATTATATATGCATGCAAGTTGGACTATATATATATTAACCTAATAAACAATATTCATGTAACAACATATTATATTCATAAATCAAACAATTCAATCACTTGAACAGTAATAAGAACATTCTTGAAGATCTCGTAATTAATAACCAAGTTTAAGTTTCTGAATTGTAAAATTCATTATAGAATTCTCATTTTATTTCAAAATAATCTCTTTTTTTTAAATCATATCCACGTGGAAAATACCAGAGCAATAAGCATGTGTGGGGGTTTTGACTTTTGACTTGTGAGGGGGTGTTTGTCTGCGTGCTTCTCCACAGCACCGATCAAACAAAGACTCTCAGCACCCTGATTTTGAAGCACCGTCCAAATTCTATTACCACCAAACTAACAATAACATTTATTCACACATTTTATTTTCTTTTTTGGTATATATAATTATATATAATATATAATATTTTTTAATGAATAAAGGGACATGTTCTCTGCAAGAAGATGTTCGATTGGATAAAAGAATCCACAAGAAAGAGATTTTGCTGTTGGGTGGGTTTTTATTTACTCTGCATTATCCCCTCCTTATCTTATCTCCCCCCACCTTAAATATTTATTTTTTTATTACCTATCTCTACTGCTATAAATATATTTATTCTATTTTTTTTGTAAATTCTTATACTTTTCCACACCCTTCCTTCCTCATTGGAAATTGCAGGCATTATTTTAGTATACTAAATCAGAAGTGGTCCCTCATTTATTTCCTATTTGTTAGTGTTACTTTCACATATTTTCATCTCTTCACGTTGTAGCTATGATGCACGGAAACTTCTGTACACACTTGCGTCGAAGAACGGAACACCATGACATCTGTCAGAAACATTTAGAAATATCTAATTGAAACATTATAATACTACTTAGAAATTATTGATATACCCTTTATATTTTTAATATTTATACAATTTCCCCATTCTCGTATATATTTCCCCTGTTTCGATGCGTCCGCGTTCCCGTATCCGTACTATATAGAGGAGTAAGGATTTCCACTTTTCCTCAATTGCCAATTGCATGAATCAAAAGACCACAGCAATCAGAAACCGTATAACTTGTTGCTTGGTAAAAAACTATTGTCTTCTCATTCTCACAAAAGTACATATTTTTTTCTTGGAAAGGGATATATATTACTTATGAGTGTAGTGTTGGTAATGAACTTTCTTTTTTCAAGAATTGTCCAAAATGCCCCAAAATATACCCTAGTCCGTGGAGTAAAGTGAGCAGTGTCATTTGTTAATTGTTATGTACTCCTAATATTCGATATTATATGTCATTTTAGTATATGTTGTGCGCATGTTAAGAAAATTAATAAATATGTATAGACTGTAGCAAAAATAAAACTTTGAAAATCACTATCGGTAATTGTTCTCAACTAACTAATTAAGAGTAATATATGGCAAATTTGAAAAAATAAAATAAAAAATACAGTTAATGCCTCATTAAAATTACGGAGGCACAAAAAGGTAATAAAGGATCCAGCAAAAAAAAAAAAAAGGAAAAAAAAAGTGTAAAAGGAAAGAATTAGGTGGCCCATACAAAAAAATACAGAAAAATGCTTCATTAGTTGGATCTATAACAAATTGGGCTTGTCAATATTGTATTATTATATGGGCCAAATAAATGAAATATGGCCCATACTAATTAATGGCCTTTAGCGAATACATGGACTCAGATAATTTGGATGTGATTTAATTAAATTTGTCTTTTTTTTTTACCGACTGAATGATTAGTTAATGACTAAGATGTTCGAAATTTCTTGTATTAGACCTAGTACTAAAACCTGCACAAATTTGTTATTAAATGTAAATTCTAAATATCTTTTAAGGATAGAATATTTATTTTATTTTCTATTAATTACCTACATAATTAGCCGGCTAGGTGGCTAGCTAGTAGTATTTAGTTTTAGGCTTTTTATTACATGTCTTCACTTTAATTTGAATTTTGCCAATCAAATATTATACTAACCCTTATTGTTTAGTTAATTGAAAGTGATAGTGGCAATTGAAAGAGACATTAATTAATATTTTAATTAGAATAGCTTATATAGTTGAATAACTACTTTATAAATTAAAAAAATCACTTTTTTTTTGGTAATGAGATACGCTTGGTAAACCAAGTAGTTTGCAAATCATACGAGAGACGCAAACCACACTAGGTTAATCATGTGTGACAAGTTCAACCTAGTGATCATCGACAAGTGGATCCAAACTTGGGTCAATTGATACAAGTTCACTAGCTCCAACCACTAAGTCATTTGGGAAACAAATCACTTTCACTTTTCTTAATGATGATGATTAATGATGAATTAGTTAACTCGATCTAAAAATTACAGTTGGAAACTTCTTCATTGCAAATGATGTAACACATGCATGGTGATCCATAAATACTAATTAAGAATCTTCAAGTAGTGGTCTAATGAAAATTATTTTCCATTTTAATTACCACAACAATTATTTCTAAGAGGTAATCATACATGCATGTATAAGTATAACCCCATTTCTAGGAAGCCCAAAGGAAAATATATAAATAAAGAATTAATTAAATAAATAAAAAATTGAACCTTCCATCAAAGCAAGTCTTTGAAAAAGAGGAGTCTACATGTATGTATATAAAGTTGCATATTCGCATAAATATTATAAAAATGTATAAATTGTCAATAAAGTGTAAAAATACACACACGAAAATATAATGTCAATAAAGTGAAGTGAAAAAAAAGAGTAAAACGAAGAAAGAAGTGTCAATACAAAAATAAACACTTTTCGCTTTCCCAACTTTCAAAAAACTGGGCTGTTAAGCAACACGACACAATGCATTGCAACACTCCTGATCGATATATGATCTTCCTTCTTAAAGCATATTCTTTATTTACCTTATCATCCCTATACTCTTTACCTTTTATACACACACCCCTCGTCAAGTTTTCCTAATTATTTTTTATTTAATTATCTACGTACAATAGGTGCACCTTGTTGGTCACGTGCCAAGTACTCCACTAAACAAGACAAAAATATTGTCGATTTATTAAGAATAGAAATGGTACAACTAGGTTTTAGGGCTTTTTTTTTTTTCCCTTTCTTTAGTTTTGTGTGTGAGACCATATCATTGCACGACCAAGATTTTCTATTATCTATTACCTTAATTATTATTATTAAGTAGTATTATTATTGTTGTTATTATTATTATCATTATTATTCCTAACTTTAATAACTAGATCTCTCTCTTTTTTTTTTTTTTTCTCTAAGTAGTAGTACTGGATATAATAATGAACACAACTATATAAATAGTGATAATTACAGCAATAATGACAGTTTGAAATATATTTTACACGGATTCGTGAAATCCTAAGTTGTTCTCTTTTGGGAAAAGCTTCTCATGGAGTAATTATTACTAGTAGTATCTATCAAAACATAATATACATATAAAATAACTCCAAAAAAGAAATTAATTAAGGTGATGAATAATCTAGATTATTGTACGACATATATATATAGTAATAATATGTAGATGAAGAAAACCAGACATGGTCATATACATTGTACGTACGTGACATTAATGCAATAATCAGAGATAAGTCCCAGGAAAACAAAAAACAAAGAAATATTATTTGCCATTAATAAACCAGACTACTGGCTACCTTTCTGAGTTCATCTTTCCTCAGATCACTTCAACTGTAAATAAAACAACAGCTCACTCTCTCTCCCTCACTCTCTCTCTCTCTCTGAAATCTCTCTGTGTGTGCATTTATTAATCTGACTGAATATATCAGACACCAAACCAGAAACAGCCAAACATATTTTTTTAATTTAAATAATTAGAAGAAAAAAAAAGGAGAAGAGGGAATTAAGTTTCATGATCATTTGAATACTGATGATGATCTAACCAAAATTAATCGAAGCTAATTAATGTATTTACAAAAAAGCCGAGCCACAAAGTAAAGACTAAATTAAACATAATATTGATTAATTAAAATAGAAAAAAAGAAGCTTAATTAATAATTAAGTTGATATATTATCCTAGAAATGTGGAATTAAGAAGAACTAACTAACATGGAGAAGGAGGCATGAGATTGAACCCTAAATCATCTTTCTCAAGAACCAATCTCGTCTTGTTTGTTGTATCCATTGAAGATTTGAATTCCGGGTGCAATCTTTTTTTCGAAGAGATTAACGGAACACCGAACAGCTTCGTTCTGTCTTCAACAATCTTGCTTGAAGGAGAAGAATTGATGTTCAATGATCCAAACAATCCATTGTTATTGTTGTTAGTAACTTTATTAGGGTTTGTCGTCGCCGCCGTCTGTTGGTGGTGGTGGTGGTACGTACTCCCGATCAGCTGATTCAAGGGCTTCTGCAGAATTGAGGAGCCGCCGTTAATGGCGGCGGCGGCGGTGGTCGGTGAGGAAGAAGAAGTGTTGCAGAGGAATAGAGAGGAATGGTACGAATTGCTCGGAGCTACGGGTTTGACGTGGTTCTGGACAAAGTAGATAATATCATTGTACAGTTTCCTCATGTGTGCTAGTTCCGACACCAGCATGTTGTTGTTTCTTCTCAGCCTCTCGTTGTCTTCCGACAGCGCCGTCAGCGAAACGGCGCTGCTGTACCCGCCGCCGCCGCTGCAGTTGGGGTTTGTCACCACGGAGACGCCGCCGCCGGTCGGGGAGGAGAGCGGCGGCGGCGAGTCGCACCAGTTGTTGTTGTTGTTGATCGGCTGCTGGTGGTGGATGTATTCGTCCGACGAATCGGGTGGGGAGATGCTGTCGGCTCGGCTTGGGTAATTAGGGAAGCTGCTGTTGTAACTTTGTCCGCCGGCGAAGTGGTGGTGGTGGAGGTGGTGGTTCTGATGGGACACTTGCGGCTGGGAGGTTTTCCTCCGGTGGATCTCGCAGAGAAGGTGCTTTTCCCCTTTCTTGAAGAACTCGTTCGCAAACTCCCATCTGTCCGGTACAATCTTTCTGAAACCCTAGTTCACCATTAAAAAAAAAAATAATAATTAATAATCACTACTGCATGGAAATTAAATTCATTAATCTGTAAATTCAGAAGATATACATACATAGGTATTGAGTTGACGGACGAAGCTAGAGAAGTTGTTGTGCTTGAAGTAGTTAGGGAGGAGGTCACGGGCAAACTCCGGCGGCCGCCACACCACAAAAGTGGCGTCGTCTTCTCCCCAAGAAACTATGTGGTCGGTGGCCGGATCGTCGACGAGCTGGTAAGTCTTTGTCAGAAACGGCGCCGGAACGGATTTCTGTGAATCTAACGACAGCATTATTCCGTCGCAGTTATCTAACGTTAACGCCATCGATTGATTGAGAAATTGCTTGCAAAATGAGCTTTTGGGTTTTTGAAGGGGGTTTGGTTGGTTTGATGAGTGAGGGGAGTGAACAAGTATATATTTATTTTATTTATTTATTAATTAATAATAAATAATATTTGTATAGAGATCGATGTAGAAATATTTTTATATTTACGAATAAGACCTCGGGTATGTAGTGAGAGAGGAATATGTGTCTGTCTGTCTAGAATTGTGAAATATTATAAGGGCCTTTCAAGACAAACCCGTGACAGACTTTCTCTCTCTCTTTCTTTTTCTATTTTCTATTTTTATTATTATTTATTATTTATTACTTAGTACATTTTGTATTTTATTTATTTATTTAGTGTACTGAAGAAATTGATCCCGGCGCGCACACACTCACGCAGAAGAGAGGGGTTAATTAGTGGGGGAAGTAAATTGACGGTGGTACCCTTAATTCTTTCCCTTTTCCTTTTCCTTGTCCTTTTATGGGGACAAAAAGAAAATTAAAAATTAAACTTTTCTTTTTTCCTCCCTTCCTTTATTTATTTATTTATTATTTTTTGAACAGTCTGATATATAGTACTGTTATTTTTGCTGGGTACCATCTGCTTCATTGCTGGACAATAACGTCCTTTTAAAATTTGAACAATAATATCTATTTAATTAGTTCTAACCATTAGTAAATAAATATTGATCCATCCAAGGGGCAATTCAGTAATTAGACACATTAGATTCCCTCCTTTCCAAGTTTGTGAATTTATTACATTAAAATTCAAAAATTGAATAATAATAATAATAAAAACAAATATTGGAAGATGGAAAAAGAAGAAGAAGAAGGTGGTGGAATCACTAGTTCACGTCAAACGAGTGTCTTTCTTTTTTGTAGGTATCTCCTTGTTGTTTAATGGCTCTTCAATCTTCATCACACACACACACACACAGTACACACAGTGTCTGTGTCACGAACGCACACATTATAATTTTTATTTATTTTCGAATCCCCATCATCATATATATTTTTTTTCTGCAATTCCTTTAGCACATTGTATAAGGAAAAGCCACATTTCGAATTACGTGATGGGATTTAAAGCCTGTGTAGATGACGACATTTTTTTTATCTTCTTGATTTAATTTCCTTCTTCTTCTTATTTACCTTTCTCTTTCAGTAATATTCCAAACTTCAATATAAGACATCATGCATACAGACATACATATATATATATATATATATATATATATATATGCTCTCTGATCTGTGCTCGTCACTGTTGTATATCTTTCCTTCTGTCTTGTGTTTTGCTGCCCAAAAATATACATACAGTTAGATACAGTTAATTACATGAAGACCTGTTATACCATTGGGTGACTTCCTATATATGTATATCAGTATATGTATATTTCTTTGACCATGCAAAATATATATATATTCGTTTTTGCTGACGTGGCTCAGATGTTTGAATTATTGTCCTCAAAAGCTTCCATCAATATCCTCCTAAATTCAAACAGCTTTTTCTTTCCCTATCTTCAATAATAATAATAATAATAATAAATAATAAAAAAATTAAAATTTATTTATGATAATGAGAATTTATAAATTACAATTACAGCCCCTCTTTTTCTTGACTTTCCCTTTTCCTTTCTAAACCAAAGAAAAGCCATGCTTTTAGCTGTTAAAATCAAATTATTTTATTATTATTTTGCATGAAAATAAGAGAGGTTAATTTATTTATTTATTTTTATTAAAATAAACCTCTCTCTCTCTCTCTCTCTCTATATATATATATATATATATATATATATATATATATATATATATATATATATATATATATATATATATATATATATATATATATATATATATATATATATATATATATGTGTGTATATATATATATATATATATAAAAGAAAGCAGCTAGAAATAGGGAGAGTTGAGTAAAAGAATAGGAAAATGATGAGTAATAATATGAGAAAGATACTGAACTGATTATTTTGATCATGGCCTGCCTTTAATATATTTGATACTCATCATATAGTGAAAAAGTTATATCTGTTACTTATCATTATTATTATTATTTCATTCTTTTTTTCAATATATTTATTATTCTTTCATCGTCTAATCCTATGTTTGCCCACTTAGTGGGACTATCCCAATTAACTTTTTTCAATTGTGTATTTCCTATATATATATAAGAATAATAATAATTGGAAATAAAAAGGAAGTATGGAGATTTTGAAACTTGGGAGAAACATCATGTAGCATAGTGTCATAAGCATCAATCAAGTCCCGATAATATATTAATTTCAAACATATATTTTTAAAATATCGAGAATAATAAGAAAAGAAAACTTGTTCAATTGTTCGATTGATCACCTTAATTTTGTTGTTTTGTCTAATTTTTCTTTTTTTCCAAAGTAAAATTAACACACACAACACACAGTTTCTCCACTGTCTTAGCACAGTTTCAGCGGCTGACACGGAAACAGGACCATCCAATTTTTTTTGATAGTTTAATTTTATTTTATTATTTATTTTATTTGGATGGTGATGCACTTCTCGTGATACTTGCTTTGGATTTTTGCTTATCCGATTCTAACATTCATGCCAATATATATATATAATTATATATATATCTCACATGCATCTTAGCATCAATCTAGAGGTGTATGTATGTATCTATTATTATTCAAATATATATATGCTCTAATTAATTTTATCTTGGTCATTTATATATAAATGTTATATTATTTTACAGCAAATCTTGTCTCTTGGACTCACTTTTTGCATTGTCCCTTGGAAATTTCTATAAATCGACTTAAGTACTATTAATTAATTCGCTTCTGTGAATTTATTAACTAGTGTTTCTAAATTAAGGATAAATAATTAGGGACGAAAAACTGTCTCAAAATATATTCATGCTTATTTTCACACACACACCACCCAGTATGAGAATATATGACCCCTATTATTTGTTAATTAGAGTGTCCATGTAAAGTTTGAACACGTTACAGAGAGAAGACGAAGATTCTAATCAATCTATAATATTAATTAATTAATATGTAATAAGAAGGTAGTGGAAATGAAGCAGTGCACGCACCTCTCACATGACCACCGCCGATACTGTGTATGTAGAAGTAGTACATGTTATATTCAGTATTAATAAATAGATAAATAAATAAATAACATTTTCTCCTTGGTCACACACACGCATGCACACATGTTAGTGTGTGTATTAATAATAAACAAAGGCACGGTTTTATACTGTGTGTAAGTAGCTAAACGACTATTAGCAAAAAAACGAGAGAAGAAGAAGAATCAAAAGTGTTGTAAGAAGAGACAAAGCTACAAGGTTCTCTACTCTGTCCCATTCTCAAATTCAATACACCATCCTTCTCGGCGATAACCCCAACGCTACACCTTTTTATTAATTACCACTATTACCCTAATTTTATTTTAATTAATCAATTAACCTCAAATCAAGATTTGGCATCCCCAACTCAATCTCAATACAACACACACAGTGTGTGTGTGTGTCATAATAAAGAATCTTTTTATTTCTTTATCTAAACTTTATTAGTAGTCATTCAATATCTTAAAATAATGCAAAAAAAATAATAGTGATATATATATATATATATATATATATATATATATATATATATATATATATATATATATGGCTGGTCAAAGATGGTCTCCAGTAGGGTGTCTGCAAGTTGCACGGTTTAGGTCTAGATTTGGATTAATGCCTCACGAGGGGGCCGGGTTGGGGAGGGTATATAATAAGTAATTAATAATTTTAGATATATATATATATATATTAAAATATAGCACGAGGAATAGTCCTAGTGATATAAATGGAGAGGACAAGGGTTTGCTTATTTTGTCTTAATTATTTATAGCGATATCTGGCTATGTACGTATGTATTGTATAGTATTAATTCAGACGCCCAGTCGCATTTATATGCCTGAAGGATTATTTATTTATTTTTCCCTCATGATTTTTTAGTTTTGAATATTTGAGTTTTGTCATTCGTTCTTTTCTTTTCTTTTTAATTAATTAAAATATATAGACTTCCTTTTTTATGTATCTTTTCTTCAATGTATATATATAGTATAATCAGCAGACCTGGTGTATATTTGTCAACCCTTTAGGATACGAATTACCAGAAATTAAGAAGTACTTTAGGAATTAATAACAAAATCCAATAAAGAAAAATGATGTAAAGGGAAATAAAGTAGTAGTATTGGGGATAGTGTGATTAGACAGAGAACCAACAAAGCTAATTAAGTAAGTAAATGAAGGAATAATTAGAAGATAAGTGAGAGTCTTTATACTATAGACTATATACACGCGCAAAAGTTCCTTTAACAAAGAAAACATATATATGTATATGATTAAAAGCAGGAAAATATAGCTCGGCTTAATTATATCAATATTATCTTTTAATTATTTGTATATTAGTATAGCTCCAAAAGGAGTTTTCCTTGCCAAAGTTTAAACTTTAAAGCCATTAATTACACTTCTTGCATGGCTCATTCTTTCTAATCAATTATACAAAGGCCGATTTTTACATTCTTTACGGATGCATTAAAAGGAGTGTCATCTCTCTCTCTCTCTCTCTCTCTCTCTCCCCTAATGTACCAACTTGAACATAAATCAATATGTAATTATTTTGCATGCATGCATATGGGCTTGTAGAATTTTAATTTTACTATGAATTGACACACACACACACACACACACATATATATATATATATATATATATATATATATATATATGTGTGTGTAATAACGAGGATCAAATTGAGCGCAACACTTTGTCTATTATAAGAACAAATGTAAGTTGAACAAATTAAACCGCAACAATATAATTAACCTATGACCTAAAAATGATTAAACAAAAAAAAGTGGGAAATATTCGATTAGCCTCCAAATTAAAATGTTGTGCCTAATTAAGAAAAAGGACAAGACATGTTAACAATGGTGGGTTTTGCGCAATAATATAATTTACTTTAATTTTATATTAATCTCAAAAATAAAAATAATAATTCAGTATATTATTACAACATAATAGTAAGGAGGAGGAAACATAAAGGCTGTTGGTTCACATGCACATCACCTTTTTTTTCTCTCCTTCTGTTTCTCTTCTTTTCATATACTGTGCCTGATAATTAAACGTTACTATGAGAAGGGCAAAAGGGGGTGAAATAAATTTAATTTTAAAAATTAAAAAAAAAAAAAGGAATAAATAAAGGTTGTAATTAATTAGAATTGGAGCCCACGTTCATTCTCAAAGCTGCTGCTCCAATTTCAATTTCAATTTCAATTTTAATTTCTATTCAATTATCTCCCCCCAATTCAAGGGATTCCATTACCCAAAAATTAATTAAGACTGAAAAAAAATACTCCCTCCGTTCCTAAATAAGTGTCGTTTTTCACCTTGGCACAATTCTTAAGAATCTCAATAAATATGTCTTGATTTTAGGAAAATAGATATTGATGGACCAAAATACCCTTGTTTATTAATTAATGCAGGAAGAGTGCTATATAGTTAATAAGGGTAAAATTGAAAAATAAGCAATTAATGCAGCATTGGAATTGTTAAGTGACAGATAATATGGAACAAAAAAAATTATCAAAAGAGACAGATATTATGGAACAGAGGGAGTAAAAAGAAATTAAATTTAATTATGGGTCCCTCCATGATAATATTCACCATCATTTCATGCAATATTGAAGACCCACCTCTCGTGTTCAATTTTAACTTGCAAAGTAGTAGAACATATTATTAGCCTTCTCATCTTCGCTACAAATAATTCAAATTTAATTGGGAGTTGTAATTTTTTTTTTCTTGATATTTTTGTTTCTTTTAATAAAGGGATTAGAGTAATGAACATCTCATCATATATATATGTTGAGATTGTCATCAATTTTTAGCAGCCGTTGATTGGGGGTATAAATATTGATATATTAATTTCCGATTAAAAAAAAATTCTGATTAAAGACATTATTAATTAATTATAACTACATCATTTGCACTACAGTTGGGCTTTTGCTTGGAAAATGCCACTGGATATTACTCTCAAAATAAATAAATAAAAAATGGGTTCAATTTAAGATATAACTAGATGTATTTAAAACTATTAAATGCATAGATGCTACTTCCTCCGTCCCAATTTAAATGTCGTTTTGGGTTATTTTGCACATATTAAGAAAGTCTATAAATGTGCATAGATTACAGTAAAAAAAACAGATAAAATTACTAAAATATCCTTAATATTAATTGATTGTCAACTAATTAATTATGAGTGATTGAGGGTAAAATTGAAAATAATGCAATTAATGCTTCATTGAAAATCTAAAATGACAAATAATTTGGGACAAAAAAAACTCTCTAGAAAGACATAATATGGGACAGAGGGAGTACATCAATTGAAATATATCAGGCGATCTTGAACCATTGTGTCATTCTGTGCGCTCAGTGGTGATTAGTTTTATAATTGAAATAAACTTTTTCTTAATGTTTCTAATCTTTAATGACTAAATTACCCTCGCCTTTCTACTCCAAGTGTAACTAGCTTGCTAAAATCATGGCTTTAATCCTTCAAATCCCCCAATGAGAACAGAGGAACTGACGTTTTTCCATTAAAGATTTTAATTGACATATATGATATATACAATGTGAGTAATGCAATAAAATAAAAAAAAGAAGATAGTGATGATACGACATCGTATTGTATAAATAGATTATAGCATGAGTGAGATAATAAAACAAACACCAACAAGCTCGTGAGTGGGAGTTAAATCAGAACGTCTAGATAAGTTAGTTGAGAGTGAAGAATATTCGTGCACAATTAATTAATTACATGAAATTCTAGAACGTTACTTCAATTAAACGCCCGCGCATTATCACGTTCTTTCAAGTGTATTTAATGAATAAATAATATAGGACCATTAAATTAAATTAAATTAAATTAAAATGTTTCTCCTTTGATTAATTTAGTTTACACATATTTAAATACGGCCCGAGCTCGCTTCTTGGTAGCAACTATTTTTCAGATCGAACTCGTCGCACATGCACTAATGCATGCACATATGCGGTTATGTACAACTGGTGTTAGAGAGTGGTGTGTTTTGGTATAATTCTTTTATCGATCAATTAAAATTTAATGAAATAATAAAAAGTTAGGAACTACTAGTCTAGGTTTGTATAACTGACATTCCAAGTAGTGTAGGTGTAACAAAGTTGCGAGTAGGTGCAATGTCAATTTATATAATTTCTCTGGTGGATGTTAGCTGGAGATCCATGGTGGAGCTTCTTCAATGTTAATTATTTCATCCACACAAATTATTTTCACTACTCTCCCATAAATATAAGTAACTAAGCCAAATTAATTGTATCACAACTTAAATTATTTTGTAACTTTCGTCAATTTAGTGTTAGTCTGCTAGTTAAGGCAGTGACGGACACGTGCTTGATTCCCTTATTATCAACAAGAGAAATTGACGGAAGGACAAAAACTGTTGAATGTTTTAAACACAAAGGACCGAATGTGGAATTAATGCAAACTTGAGGAATGAAAATTGTATTTACATCTGATGGAGTGAAAAATATTAAAATATGTGATGAGTTTGTTATATCAAAAGTATGGTTAATTGAGCCAAAAATATACAAGCAAGCACATCTCTTTTTTTCCTTAGTGTAAGAAAAATAATAATAATGATAATTGAGAAAGGTAGGTTGGAAGAAGTTTTATGGACCTACAAAAGATTGGTGAAGTGAAGTAACTTTAAAAAATGGCAGAGAGAGAGAGAGAGAGAGAGAGAGAGAGAGAGAGAGAGAGAGAGAGTGGATATAATTTGGATTGAAGAACAAAATCCCACATCGGTACAAATGGTGATAAAGACATACAAAGTGGAAGTTTACAAGGCCAGATATATACCCCACCTGACAACCACAATGCCTTAATCAAAAAAGAAAAAAAGAAAGGAAGAAAAGAAGAAAAAACAGCTTTATAGGGAATAAGAGATGTTCTTTTTTCTTTCCCCCCTCTAAGAAAAAGAATTAATTGACCTTATGACGTGGTTTTACAACACATTGCATAAAGCGATTCGAACTTCCTACATCACACAAAACTACGGTAGCAATCGAACACAGATCGGTTAACATATTCGTATAAAATTCCAAAATTTTCGAAGAAAGTGAAAAATCGTTCCAAAATAATTAGGAAAATTTGAATTTCAGTGTTTAGAAACTGAAATAATAGAATTCGTCTAAACTCGAAATTTTTTGGACCGGAATCGACAAAATTCAAAAATTGTATCTTTTTTTGTTACAAATGTACAAAATGCATCATATTTTTTTCACTAGTCACGCAGACGTCTATAGCTGGTCATTTCAGGTTTATACCATGTATGCTGCATGGGGTGAAATACAACGGATATGATAATAATAATTCTACTTCCATTACCCCAAAATCAGAATGATTATCAATACTTTCTAACATGAAAGAAACAAAGATTTGATGATATTTTTCACAAACACATGCATATGCTAATGTTTTTGGGTGGATAAAGCAATTTGACATGACAAGAAATAAATTCGGCAGTGGAGAAGGGAATAATTTTCAATAATGCTACTACAAATTGCATATATGTATCTATGTAATAATAATAATAATTTTAATGATATTAATAAATAATACTGATAATAAATAATAATAATAATGATGGCCAAGCATATTCACTTTCTTCTTTGTCATCACTTTTCTATGGCCTAGTTAAAAAAGAAGGTTTTTAAATCAAAATTAAAACTTTAATAAAAGAAACATTTTTTTCTCAAAAAATAGAAAGAAATAAAGAAAAAAAACATGTGTCCTTAGCTTAATAAACTAGTTCCCATCCCATGTATAAGCTTGCTCCACAAGCTTGTCCAAACTAATTATTTACAACAGGCTGACCTGGAATTTAATTTAAATTATATTATAAATTAATTTGGTCCTACTTGCATTAAGAATTAATGGAGCTCCTAATTCATTCTATTTGATCAGGTTCTACCCTTGTCAAAAGATGCTAGATAAGTTCAGGAGGATTGCGACAAGTCAAACTCGGTCAAAATCGAACACGTAACGAATGACATCCAAGAACTAACAAGTTAGTAGTGAAGCAAACTTGTACACATTGTTGTTTAGAAACCATATTACATACATACATACAGACGAAGCGGTTCATCATATATGATAACCAAATGCACGTACGTGGATTAAAAAAAAAAAAAAAAAAAAAAAAAAAACCGAAGTTACGTTAGATTCACATATAAACCTCCATGCCAATATACTTAGATGACTGACACAAGGGACAAAGACTCAACTTACTCTCGCAATCTTTACACAGGCAGAGATGCTTACAAGGCAACAAAAGCATGCTCACCTCCTTCACCCTACAAACCCTACACGTCAGCATCGCCGCCACGTCATTCACGGAGGGTCGTCCGTCACAGCAGGACGCGGTATCGTCCACCTCGCTGTCGCCGTGCCCTTCTTTGCTATCCCTGCTCTGCGCGTAGACCTGCTGTAGGTTTATCTTGAGCGTGTTGATCATGCTCTCGTTGTATTTTGCCCTTTGCTGCCACGCGTTCGCCTCGAGCGCCAGCTGTTCCATTCGCAGCTCTAGCTCGGAGTTCTTCTTGTTGATGTCTTCCACCTCGGCCTCTTTCTCGCGCAGTTTCTGTTGGACTTTTTCTTCTACGTACGAGATTGTCTGGAGCTGTGTTGCTTGGAATTTTTCGAGTATGGCTTGTCGTAGACGATTGCCCTAATCGAGGGTTAAAGCAAGATTAGATAGTTAAACGACAAAAGAACACACTTTTAAACCACACCTTTTGTTCGGTCAGATAAGAATATTCGGTATTAAACAAAAGAAAACCCTGATGGCAATTAGCAAGTGTTTGGGATTGTGGATTAGGCATGATATACTATTTCAAATCATGTAAATGAAGGATTAATAATCACGATTAAGGGTTGAACCCAAGAAATATATTTTTTTCCTTCAAAAACCCTCAAATTTTACAAAAATGGAGGAAATTTTAGATGTTTTATGAACTATCCTAGATAATCCCGATTCCGAACACTTGATTAGAAATTATTATACAATATTTCAGTTAGTAATCATATATCGGAAAAAATTAAACAATCTCATATTACATACACTATCATGAATTGATGTAATCCTACATAATCTAATCAATATTATCTAATCCTAGGAACATTCTCAATCGAGACCAAAACACATCCTCAAACTCGTTGAAATATTACAGCTGCAATGAGAACAGCAGGAAAGCTAATTTTAAGAATTCTAAAACAACATTGAAGAAACATTAAATCATTTTACGAAGAAAATAGTTCGAGCAAAAAAAGTCTCATATCTAGATACACGAACCTAAGTGAGAATATGTGCGTCACGAGTCGAAACCCGAGTGAGAACCTAATTTATCGAGCTAAGCCAAATAACTACAAAGCTTAAATTTTTAAAGCAGCCATATATTATTGCTGCTTCCAAAGAACAGTGTATACGAGTGTTCGGGACTAATATCAAAGAATCGTGTTCAAACAATTTCCATTCAGATAGTACAACGGATAAATTCAAACCTAAATTGCTTTCCATCGTCTGCAGTGTAGTTCCGAACTCAATCTATAGTTAGACGACGAGAAACTATTCAAATACTAAGATGTTGATTTGCTGCACTATTCAAACATGTTGTCTAAATATCACACACAAAGGGTCAACCCGATTACCCATACCAGAAGAACTAATCATCAATACCAACATTTTCTCTATCGCACATTTGTACCACGATAATGAATTAGCCAATCAAACTCGAAAACCCTAAAAATTAAATTTCATCACGAAATGAAATAAACGAATCAAGAACCCATAATTTCGCACCTGGAGCTTAATATATCTATCGATTTCGGCGTCCTGCCTTTGCAATTCCCGATCAAGAGCATCTCCGAACAGCCCAATGAGAGCCGAGTCGCCGGAAGAAGTCAACCGGGGATTTTCCAACGAAAGGCCCAAACCAGTAGAAACTGATCGGGCCTGAAATAAATCCACAGACGATATCTGAGAGTTATTATTGCTTTTATTATTGTTGTTAAAATTGTTCTCCAGAAAAACTTGCTCCGTAGGCCTCTCTTTCTTCAACCCTAGCCCGAAATTCCACTGCAAATCCGGCCCGTTTTCTTCGTGAGACGGGCCCGGTGCCAACCCGGCCACTTGAACTGAAATTTTGAGATGGGCATTAGGAAAAATGAATAAACCCCATGAAAAATAATTAAATTAAAAAAAAAATATTAGTCAAAGTGTGTAGAAAAATACAAGGAGGGATGTAAGGAGGGTGATGATCGAGAAGATTAGGGGTATTGAAGTAGGCCACTTGCTGTGAAATCTGACCCTCCATGTTGCTGTTATACACATCTCTGAAAAAAAAAATGTATAAAATTGATAGATGAAACAAAAATTCAAAATAAAAATTGAATCTTGATAATAAAATAGAAAACGAAAAGCTACAAGGGGGATTAATTACCTGAAGGGTTTAGATTGCTGTGGCTGTGAGGGTGGTTGCTGCTGAAGAAATTGTTGGAAGTGATCTTGAGGAAAAGATGCCATTACTGGGTCTAGAGAGAGAAACAAGAAATGGGTCCTCAAATGTGGGTGGGGGGTGGGGGGTAGGGGGGACGTGGTTCAAAGGAGAGTGAAGGAGATAACTTTTTTGTATTTGCTGATTGGTCCTTCAAGTATTGGAAAATTCTGATTTCGTCTCCTTGTGGATAAGAAGAAGCAGAAATGGGGATTGACTGCTGATTGATTATTCATCGAGGAAGGGTTTTGTAATATCGGGCCGAAAACAAAATACACTTTATATAAAAGTTCGGCCCGAAACTATAACGAATTGTAAGGCCCATTTAGAATAACAAATGTGAAGAAGTTTTGATATAATCTAATAGCCCAAACTTATGAAAGAATAAATAACAGCCCAAACGAGCGCTTTTCTTATTATTTCTCTTTCTAATAAATATTTCTCTATTAATTAATAAAATTAATATGTAATCAAAATTTTAAAATATAGATAAAAAAAATCTACAAAAAAAGAGAACTAAATTAAAACGGAGTGGGAGTGAGTGTAACAATTTCCAAAATTAAAATGAATAGGATTGCTAAGAGCAACTTGACTTGTAAACTTTTTAGTTTAAATTATAGTTCTATTGCCTACTATTAATACTAAAGTGGTGTTTGCAAAAAAATTTAAAAATAGATTATGAGATTTTCTTCTTGTCTTAAAATAAGCTGTTTTAAGCTATAATTTAAAAGTACCCATGTACATGTTTTTTCTATTTAAATTGATTTTCCAGATTTTTAACAAACACCCCTAACTTTTAGAATTAAGCACTTAATATCAACTCAATTCACAATCAATATTCTTCGAAAAAAAAAATCTCAATCAATAACTTATGTTTTTAAATAAGTTTTTGCAAACCCCACCTAAATAGAGAATTTAGTGTTATTTTTTTAAAATCGTAGAAACATACATAATAACAAGTAAAAGCGTGTTATTAAAAAAAAAAAAAAAAAGCGTAAATCAAGGAAGGCAAAAAGTAAGTACAAGCATATACTCGTCGGCGCGTTATCTTCTTCCTCCATGTGACTTCCTAACTTCACTTCCCCACACCTTGTCCTCTTTCTCTCTCTCCTCTCTCTCTCACACACACAATAGCACACACACATCTCGCAATTCATTTATCATTTCCCCATTCTCACACACACACACACACACACACACACACACATATTTCCAATTCCCATGGCAGCAAAAATCTCCCTCATTCACATATTTTCCCTTCTCATTATAATATTCACTTTCACCATTCCCGCTGCAATTGCTGCTGACGTGGATGGCCATGGCATGAACGAAACCCTAGAATGGCAATTCCAAAGCCAGTTCAATCTCGAACCAAAAATCGTCGTAGAAGAAGAAGATGATGAAGAAGAAGAAGGAGATGGCGCATTGCACCGTAGATATCTGTACTGGAGCTCACCTTCTTCGCCGCCCAAACGATACTACATTTCGTACGGAGCACTCTCTGCGAATCGGATCCCCTGCCCGGCCCGATCCGGCAGATCATACTACACCCATAACTGTTTCAGAGCACGAGGACCGGTTCACCCCTACACCAGAGGCTGCTCTGCAATACTCGCTGCAGAAGGTGATATATATGAAGATTTAAGTTACATCTCTTTACTCAATTTTCTTATCTCCACCGGATTTTAAGAAATTATATATTTACTAATATATGCTTGGTGGCGTTCAAATATATTTTCTTGCTTATTTTTGTAATTTTGATTGTTCAATTACTGTTTTTTCTGTATCGCTGCTTGCTTCTGTGGCGGCCGCCTCGAAATTTTCTAGATCTATGATAAAAATGGATTTATTTATTTTATTTAAAAATAAATAAATAAATAATTGTGTTGCTTGACCTATTTCTTTTTAAGTTCTTATTGGCAAAATAAATTATAGAGTAGAGGAATTTGATTAATGTTTGAAGGTTTTGAGATTTAGACATACGATTTTGAATTGGTTTCTATGTGATTGTGGGATAGGAAAAAACATGGTTTTATAGATGCTACACTCGGTGAAATACATTTAGGTGATCTTGCACAACCATGTGTATACGTACCCAGTGAGTAGTTTATTGCACCGATTGAAATACATTTCGAGTAGTTATTTGTATAGGTCAATTTTTGCAGAATCATTCGTTGAATTTCACGAGTGTAGCATTTCGTCGACTGAAAAAACAGATGGAAGCGAATTAAAATTGTATTCACCATTTCTCTATATAAAATGTATATTATTACTGCACATAATGTTTTTTTTCCTTTTTTCCAAGAATAATATACTTAAATCTGAATTATATCCTCAGGATTTTATTAGGAACAATATTTCCAAAAAAACAAGTACATTAGCACACAAGATACAAATACTATTTTGTACACTATGAAGTTCATGTAGCTATAAATAAAAATAACAAACTCATGTAATTTAATTATTACAAAAAATAAAAGTTCACAATAGTACAACTCCCGGAAAATGATATATTGTCACAATTAATAAATAAATAAATATACAACGGTTGATAATTCATGTAAACTGACCAAAACACCCTGTTTTTTTTCTTCCCCCAAGCCTGATGAATCTAGTCCAATAATAGTAATCCATTTGATCCAAACTCCATTAATCTTGATCATTCATAAGTGCATGAATTCTTGAGTGATATGGGAACATTCAATTTCTTAAGATCTAACACAACGGCGCAACCGATTTTCTTGTCGAATTTAGGTTTCACCAGTTTCCCCAGAACATAACCCCTTGATCGGACTGTGAAGTTCAGTTGTAGTGGCACCGGAGAGGTGGTGATCAACCCCGCCGGAGTCGTCAAACTAGCCCCACTTCCGTACATCGGAATCTTGTCTCCGATCACCGACACAACCACGTTCCTCTGGCTCTTTCTCGATTGATAGAACTTTTTCATCTGTAAAATCCCCAAAAAAAAAAAATTAATTAAGTTGCCAAATTTCCTAACAACTTTGTTTAGGATTGATTTCGGAACTTACATCTCCAGATCCAATGGTGAGCTGTGTGTAGGAGAGAGAGAGAGGAGTGGTGTGAACATGAACACCAAAAAAAGTGGCTGTGTTACGGAAAGTGAGCTTCACCGTTGAGTTGACGGAGATCATGTCGGTGGAAACTCCGCTTTCATCTGAACCGGCTTGAACCACTAATCTCTCAATGTAATGCTCTGCAATCAATCCATAAGAAAAAAAAAAATAACCGATTTATAATTTATTGAAATTAGAAAGAGGAGAAAGCTAATTAGGGCAAATTGACAGTAGTCACTC